ACACACACACACACACACACACACACACACACACACACACACACACACATTCTTCTTCCTGATTATGGTGGTGGGATATGTATAAATAGGTGGCAGAGACCTTTTATTGCCTATAAGGTTAAGTGATCCAATATACACTGATACTTGCTTCCTCCTTTACTACATATTAAATTTCTATAATCTGGAGCTGTGTTGATAAATACTTTATTCCATTAATCTACATATCTATCTCTGTCAAGGCTATGCTGCCTTAGTTAAAATAGTTTATAATTTTTATTTTCCCTTCTAGGAAAATTGTCCTACTTTTTCTCATTCAAAATTGTTGTGGTTATTTCTTTTTTATTCTGCTTTTTGGGACTGTGCTTTTATATTTTTAAGGAAATTAATCATTGCATGAGCATTCTGGAAATGGCATCAAACATTCTCCTAAAATATCAGCAGCTTAAATGTCATTATAAAATTTTCTTTTATATTAAAACCTTCACAGTTGAAACTAGCTAACCTAAGTAAAGCTAACCAGGTGCATAAATCAGAGAGAAATGAATGTTACTTATTGGGGGCACATTTATCTTTCTCCTGATTTCTGTTTTTTATTCCTTGAGAATCACTATCTCTCCCACTAAAACCTACTGTGTTTTGAATAAGAAACGTTCATCATTGTATGGGCAGGTTTAGGAGGCATGGCCTTTTTGAAGAAAATATACTACTAGAGGAAGTCTTGGAGAGTTTAAGCCCCCATCATGCTTCCAGTTGCTTTCTCTGCTTCTTCCTTACATTTCAAGATGTGAGCTCTCAGGTTTCTACTCCTGATGCTATGCATGAAGCTGTGACTATGCCTTGTGGTGGTCACTGTCATGATAGACTGTAACTATCTGGAACCGTAAGCCAAAATAAACTCTTTCTTGCTTTGGTCATGGTATTTAATCATAAAAATCATAAAATTGGTGTTCTGGTTAGTTTTCTATCAACCAGACACAGGTTGGGTCATTTGGGAAGAGGTAACCTCAAGTGAGAAAATGCCTCCATCAGATTGGCCTGTGGTCAAGTCTGCAGGGGCAACTTTTTGATTAATGATTGATGTGGGTGGGCCTAGCTTACTATGAGAGGTACCACCCTTGGGCAGGTTGCCTTGGGCTGTATAAGAAATGTAGCTGAGCAAGCCCTGGGTAAGCAAGCCAGTAAACAGCCTGCCTCCCTGTCCCCTGCTTCAGTTCCTGCCTTGAGGCCCTGCCCTGGCCTTTCTCAAAGATGGATCTTCACATGGAATTGTAATCCAAATAAACCCTTTCCTTTTAGTCATGATGTTTTATCAGAGCAACAAAAAGTAAAGTGGGACAAGTAACAGGCAGAAATTGGTACCAGAGAGTGGGTGTTGTTGTGAAGAACCTCACTGTGACCTTGGAGGAATGTGGAAGACTCTGGTGCTTTGGACTAGAAAAAAAAAATGAAGGCTATAAGACAAGGTTAAAGAGACATTATAGTAGGAGCCTAGAAGACTGCAAGCGATGTAGTCAGTATTGGCCTGGCTCAAGAGGTTTCAGATGAGAATGATGTTAACAACTAGGTTACAGACCATTCCTGAGATAATTTGACAAAGAATATGGCTGCCTTCTGCCCATGTCTTGAGTAAATTGACTGAAGCTAACTTTAAAAATGCTAGACTGGGGCTGGATAGATAACTCAGCATTTGAGACACTGGCTACTCTTCCAGAGAATCCAGGTTTGATTCCCAGCACTCACATGGTCACTTACAACCCTCTGTAACTCCAGTTCTGGAGGATCCCATGCCCTCTATGGTCTCCATGGGCACCAGTCATGCTTGTGATATGTAGGCCTATATGCAGGCAAAACACTTATACACATTTAAAAAAATAATTGGTTAATTTGTTCGTGGAGGAGATTTCAAGACTGCATAATGTTGAGTCTGTGGTGTGGTTATTATTGGCAATGCTTATATGCAGGTCTATGATGAAAATGTGCAAGTAGGAAAGAACTATAAAATGTTCAGTTTTGGAGAGAAAAAGAACACCAGAAAACAATGTCAAAGCAAAGGCAACTGCTGGAAGAGAGGCTGCAATTGTATTGTTAAGTAGCTCCATCAAGGAGAGATCTGTTTTATACTATGTACTAGCTAGTTTTATGTCAACTTGACACAGACAAGAATATCTGAAAGGTGGGAACCTCAATAGGGAAAATGCCT